TCCCACTCGCTTTATCAAGGTGAAGCGTGGGCGGTAGGCGCTCAGGAATCGTTAGTCGGAATGGACATTGGCGCTGAAATGAGTGCCATCGTACGTACCGTGGTCAGCGTGGCCCATCCGCCGCCGTCCTCGCCAGCGGTCCAAACATCGACTGGACCCTGTCCGATCAGCTCTTTCCAGCTTTCTCCTCGTGGAATCGTCTCCATCTTGCACATTTCTACGCGGAGCCACGCCGCCTCGACGCCCTTGGACGAGGGAACTTGGACGGCGATCGACCCGCTCAGATGAGCTTCAGGTCGCGTCTCAGAGGCGGGAATCCCAGGGTAGCCCTGCAGAAAACCGCGATTAGGAGGGGGACGAAGCTCTCTAGTCTGTTAGCATAGTCTCTACGCACATGCGAGGCGGCGACATGGTCGTTGTAACCAGCGTCGTCGTCGCGGCGACCGGCAAGGCCCTCCACCGCGGCCACGGCGGTGCGTGGCCCGATCAGCCCGATTGTATGAGAGCGTCTACCAAGTTCCTCTATCCCGAGCACATGAGGCAGGCATCCTTGTTCTCCAGCGAGCAGGCAAGGCGCGCATCGGCCTCTTCCTGACGACGGCGGGCGCGCTCCTGCGCGGCCTTAAAGCCTTCGTCCTCCGTCGCGTCCGCATGGCCCTCGTCCGGACGCTGCGTGCCAGGGCCGTCTTCGGTGATGGTGCCATCGACACCCAGGCGACCCACACCCTGCACCACCGACTCGTAGCGGCCCTCCGCACCGGCAGGCGCCGGCGTCGCGCTCGCCGGACCGTTCACAGCCGGAGCGCCCGAGGCCGGCACAGCGAGACTGTTCGTCGCGTTGGCCGCCGCTGCGTTCTGGACAGGCTCGGCTGTGCGAGCGCTGCGCTCGTTGGCCATTTGCGCGGCGGCTGCCTTCTTGACCTCCTTCGCCGCCTGGACTTCGGCCGTGTCGACGGTGAACTGGATGGCCTGCGCAGCGGGGCGCGTGCGCAGGTAGTAGGAGCCGGTCTTGAGGCCCTTCTTCCAGCCGTAAAAGTGCATCGACGTAAGCTGACCAAAGGTCGGCGCGCTCAGGTGAATGTTGAGACTCTGGCTCTGGCACACAAACGCGCCACGGTCCGCCGCCATGTCAATGATCACCTTTTGGCTAATCTCCCACACGGTCTTGTAAAGCGCCTTGATGTGGTCAGGGATGCCAGCCACGTTTTGGATCGAGCCGCCATGCGCAATAATCTTTTGCTTCATCGAGTCGTTCCAAAGGCCCAGCTCCACGAGCTCGCGCAAGAGCCACGGGTTGACCACCTGGAACTCACCGGCGAGCACACGGCGCATGTAAATGTTGCTGGTGTACGGCTCGAAGCACTCGTTGAAGCCCAAGATCTGACTGGTCGAGGCCGTGGGCATAGGCGCCATCAGCAACGAGTTGCGCAAACCGTGCTGGGCAATCTTTGCCTTGAGGGAGGCCCAGTCCCACAGGTCCGTCGGCGTGCGGTTCCAGTGGTCGTACTGCAAGAGACCCTGCGAAGCAGGGCTGCCCTCGTACGTCTCGTAGGGGCCATACTCGGCAGCCAGCTCGCAGCTGCGCTCCAGCGCCGCGTGATAGATAGTCTCGAAGATCTGCACGTTCAGCAGGCGCGCCTCCTGGCTGTCGAACGGATAGCCCATGATCATAAACGCATCCGCCAGACCCTGGACACCGATACCGATGGGGCGGTGGCGCATGTTCGAGCGGCGCGCACTCTCCACGGGGTAGTAGTTGATGTCGATGATGCGGTTCAAGTTCTTGCAAACCACCTTCGACACGTCGTGCAGGCGCTGGAAGTTGTACGTCTTCGAAGCGCCAGTGCCCTCAATGAAGGTCGGCAACGCAATCGAGGCCAGGTTGCACACGGCAGTCTCGTCCGGCGAGCTGTATTCGATGATTTCGGTACACAGGTTCGAGCTCTTGATCGTGCCGAGGTTCTTCTGGTTGCTCTTGCGGTTGGCCGAGTCCTTGTACAGGATGAAGGGATTGCCGGTCTCGATCTGGGCCTCCAAAATGGCGTACCAGAGCTTCTGCGCCTTGACGGAGCGCTTCGCACGGCCCTCGCGCTCGTACTTTTCGTACAAGGCATCAAACTCCTCGCCGTAGCAGTCAGCCAGGCCCGGGCACTCGGCAGGGCACATAAGCGACCAGTCGCCGTTCTGCTCGACGCGGCGCATGAACAGGTCAGGAATCCACAGGGCCAGGAACAGGTCGCGCGCACGCACCTCCTCCTTACCGTGGTTCTTGCGCAGGTCAATGAACTCAAACACGTCCGAGTGCCACGGCTCGAGGTAGATCGCAAAGGCTCCGGGGCGCTTGTTGCCGCCCTGGTCCACGTAGCGCGCAGTGTTGTTGTACACGCGGAGCATCGGCACAATACCGTTGCTGACACCGTTCGTGCCAGCAATGTAGGAGCCTGTGGCACGAATGTTGTGGATGTTCAGACCGATACCGCCAGCCGTCTTGCTGATCATAGCGCAGGTCTTGAGCGTGTCGTAAATACCCTCAATCGAGTCGTCCTTCATACTCACAAGGAAGCAGGACGACATTTGGGGGTTAGGCGTACCAGCGTTGAACAGGGTCGGCGACGCGTGCGTGAAGGCCTTCTCGGACATGTAGTTGTAGGTCTCGATGGCGCTCTTCACATCCTCGCCGTGGATGCCTACAGCAACACGCATGAGCATGTGCTGAGGGCGCTCCGCGACCTTGCCGTTGATGCGCAGGAGGTAGGAGCGCTCAAGCGTCTTGAAGCCGAAGAAGTTGTAGTGAAAGTCGCGCTCGTAAATCACCGCCGAGTCGAGCGTGTCGCGGTTCTTCATCACCGCCTCGTACGTCTCCTTGGAGATCATAGGGCTATGTTTCTTCGTCTTGGGGTTCACGTAGTCGTACAGGTCCTGCACCACATGGCTAAAGTGCTTCTTGGTCTCCTTGTGCAGGTTGCTGATGGCAATTCGTGCCGCCAGCACAGCATAGTCAGGGTGGGTGGTCGTCTTGTACGCCGCAGTCTCAGCCGCGAGGTTGTCAAGCTCTACGGTGGTCACACCATCGTAGATACCATCAATCACCTTACGCGTGATCTCGATGGGATCGATATAGTTCATGTCGAGCCCGTAGCAGAGTTTTGCCACACGGGCAGTCACCTTATCGAAGCGGACCTCTTCCTTGCGGCCGTCTGTGGTTAGACTGAAGAATGTACGCACCTCGCTTGTAGACAAAAATCATGTCGGAAAGGCCCACGCACACAGAGGAGGGTAAGGACAGGAGAGGAGAGGTGGGTGGTAAAAACCTCACGCCAGCGCGCGTAGGGATTGATTCAATCGGACGCGTGGAATCAACGCGGACGACGCGTCGGGCCTCGCGGTGCTAATTGGCGCGTTGATGGTTTTGGGATGCCCACGCGTTGAGGCGTGGGCGTTTCGGCCGGTGCGCTGGCCACCAAGAGGGCGCCGCCGCCTGGGCGAAACTGCAATTCCACATGCACCGAGCTGCGGGAGGCCCGACAACCGCGGCCACGCACTCCACCCAAAATACCACTGGCACGAAAGGCCCATCCATTCACAAAGGAGGACCATGCAGTCGGCCGCAGGAAATAAACACAGCACATCCTGGACCCCACGCGACCCAAACACGCGACGGGTCCGAGGGCGGACCATGTGCCTGCCATGGCGTAGCACGCATATTTGGGAGAGGCAAAAAGAGAGAGAACTGTAAAGGCTACGAAGCTCTGATAGCAACATAGTACCCAAGGGGGAACTAGAGATGTATCATGGAAGGCAGGCCGTTTAAAAGATCAACTAGGTCATGGTGCAAGTCCATACATCCACGGAAAGCAGCATCTGTTGCTCCAAGGTATGTTTCGAATTCGACCGTGGGGTCGGCACAGTCTCTCAACAAAACGATCAGGGGGGTGTGGGGGAAAAATCTCGATTAGCTTGTCTCAAGGTGCGAGCCTAGATCATCTAGAACTGCAGCAACGAGTATACAACAGTGGATGCGAATTGGCTTACGCAAGGCTGTCCTGGACACCGCGGCCGCCACGGAAGGCCTTCATGCCGAGGTAGAGGATCACACCCAGCAGCAGCGTGAGCTCCACCCAGCCAATCCAGCCGAACGCAACGATGGCCTTGAGGGCATCGCAGTCGCGGATGAAGTTCTCACCGGAGTCGACGCACTGCTTGTTGCCAACAGCGTTCGAGAGCGCAGCGGTACCGCAGAGCCAGAAGATCCAAGTGAGGAGAATGAAGACACCGTGGCTAGCAATCGACGAGAAAACGCCACCAATGCCAGTAATGAAGAGAACCAGCTGAAAGGTAAGACAAGGGTATACGTACGAAGATCACACCGAACAGAACACTCCACCAGCCAGTGAACACCATGAAACGAGCGCTGTCACGAATCAGGTGGGTGACGTTTTGGTTGCCGTTGTGGTTCAGGTCAGCGACCACGGCCGAGGCGATGATCGCCAGAATAAGCGAGATCACGATGAAGAGGGCGAAAGCAATAGGGTGTCCCTTGCGAATGACCGAGCTAAGATCCATGGTAGTAGTGGTATTCAACGGTACGTTGGTAAGGAGTTGATGGTGGGATTATAAACAGTGCCGGACCGCTACTAAGACTTGACAATCACTTGCAGGCAAAACACGCACCCGATCCGCTTTCGGAATGCACCTCGTTGATCCACTGGTTTGTACACGGATGCAGCATCAGTTCACCTGATGTTTCCCCCGTCTGACATATCATCTGTATTGTACTATGTCAGCAATCGCAAACGGGATTGGTGCAATGCAACTGCATCTCGTAGAAAATAGCAGAAATCCCCCATTTCCTAAAAGAGCAAACACGTCCTCCACGGTATATCGTTCAGGGGAATGTGGAGGTGGCCTAAAAAAAAGAACACCCGTTTGACGAAACTGGGGGGAATAGGGGGGAGGAGGGGCGATGGGCCGGTCACCGACAGGGGAAGAGGCAAAAGGAATGACTCTGCCCGGACTCGAACCGGGGACTTTCACGGTTGACACCGTTGATCACGATTTGTGTTAACGTGATACTCTAACCAACTGAGTTACAGAGTCACAATCTGAAGGGAGCTCAGAGCTTTTGCTATCTGAATACGGGGGTCCGAAGGAACATCGATAAAAGTAGCACGTCCCTGTCAGGTCCATAGACAGACTGGGGTATCCAGGGGTGCTATCGAAGCTATGCATCGTCCTCGTCCTCATCATCGTCCTCATCCATAGGCTGTTCGTCCTCGTCATCAAAGTGAGGGGCGCCACGCAGACCCTTGACCTTCTTGACTTGCAGCGACGACAGATCTTGGCGGCCCAAATGCACGCGACCGACCATGTCGCCCATGTCGTCCGTGTCAATGTTCTTGCGCTTGCCCTTGCCCTGCGTGTTCTTCTGCTCGGCTGTCTTGGGCCGCTTGAGTGCTTCTGTCATGCGATCCGTGCTGGCTGGCAAACGACGACGGAGCTCCAAGTCCAGCGAGGGGCCACACAGCTCCAGCTCAATGCGCGGTGTCTTCGTGCCGGAGGCCAGCATCTTCACAGCATACACGCGGAAAAGGATGGTGCACGGTGGGCAGCGGTGCACAGCACTGGCACCCGTCACTTGTGTAGGAAGACCCGCGGCACGGTACAGGCTCGCCAAGTCGTCGGCCCCAGGCGCACTCGACGCCGTGTCCTGCGCAGCAGCCGAGGGGGCTACGCTCACCGAAACGACGTGCTCGAGGCCACTGAGCGCAATGTTGTTCGGGTGCAGCTCTTCGCCGCGGTAAAAGTCGAGGAGGAGCGACTTGAGGTGCAGGAACGCACCCTTCGGCTCCGGGTCCGCGCCCGCGGCAGCGAGGCGGTCAGCGCTGGCTTCCACGTTGAATTCAGGACCAGAGAAGTGGAACAGGGGGCGCATGCCGATGCTCGGCTTGTTGGACTTGAATTGGTTCATGCTCGTGGCTTGGAGGATGCCCATTTCCAGCATGTCGAGAACCTGCCCGTCGAAGAGGCGCACCCAGCACAAGTTGTGGGGGCGCTTCTTCTGGCTACTTCCAACAACGAACAGGCTTGCGTCGTTCTTCTGTCCCCAGAACTCGATACTGGATGCATCTTCAAATGGCAGCACATCATTGTGCTTGTTGAACGGCATGGCGTCCGGCTTCTTAAGTGCCGCGAGCTCGGCCAGCGCGAGGTTCACCTTGTCAGAGGTCTTGGTACCTTTGACAAAGATTGCTGTCTTGGCATTCTCGTGATCCTTCGATTCGCGCTTCTCCAGCGCGCGCTTCGAGCGCGCGTTCTTGGGCTTGACGGTCTGCAGCATGAAAAAAGGGGCTCGGCCGTGTGGCGCGCAAAAAAAAAGGCCAGCGCCTGCTTGTCCCTCCACCAGGCGCTATGATTTCGTCGGCCGCGTGGATTGCCCGCGGCGTGGCTGCGCGCCATCCGCAGAAGCACCAGCTGGATGAGGCTGAGCTGGCGCGCGTGAGCAAGCTGACGAACATGGAGCTGGGCGACGCGGAGCGCCAGCTGGCGGCAGCTTCCGCTGCCGCCGCTGCGCGTGGCGAAGAAGCCGCGGAAGACGGTTGGGAGGACGTGGACGAGGAGGAAGCGATGGAGGAGGACAATGCGGACCCGAATGATCTTAGCCGGTACCGTCTGGATGAATACGATGAGGAGCCGAACCAGAGCGTCGCGATGGGTGCGCTGAGTGGGATCCGTGGGCTGCAGTACTTCCGCAACAACGATGAAGACCCGTACATTACGCTGAAGAACGACCCTGCCGACGAGGAAGAGGAGCGCGAGCAGCTGGAGGTGCTTCCTAGTGACAACATGATTGTCACGGCCAAGACGGAAGACGATGTATCGATGCTGGAGGTGTATGTGTACTCGGCGCACGACCAGAATTTGTACGTGCACCACGACCTGCTCCTGCCCTCGTTCCCGCTGCACCTCGAGTGGGTCGACTATGCGCCGGCGCCGGTCGTCGAGAGCCAGACACGCGCTGCCGGCACGCTGGGCAACTTTGTGGCGGTCGGTACGATGGACCCCGAGATTGAGATCTGGAATATGGACGTGCTGGAAGGCATGTACCCCGATGCCGTGCTGGGTCGCAAGGACCTCACGGAGCCGCTCAATGCGCCGGCCGGCACCGGCAAGAAGAAGCGGCGTCAGCCCAAGGCGCGTGTGCCGAACGCGACGCACCACGTCGACGCGGTGCTCTCGCTCGCGTGGAACCGGCGTGTGCGCAACATGCTGGCCTCAGCATCCGCCGACACAACAGTGAAGCTGTGGGATCTATCGCGTCCGATGGCAGGCGAGTCGGCCACCGCACTGCGCAGCTTCCATGCACACACGGACAAGGTGCAGAGTGTCGCGTGGCAGGTCAATGCGCCCGGTCTCGCTCCCGGCACCGAGAATCCTGCCGTGTTGCTCACGGGCAGCTACGACAAGACGCTGCGTGTGTTTGACGCGCGGCAACCCGCGCCGGCACTCGTTGCATCGATCCCGGCAGATGTGGAGGCCGTGCGGTGGAACGGGTGGAAGGACCACCAATTCCTCGCCTCGCTGGAGACGGGTGTGGTGCAAGGCTTTGACGCGCGTGCGCTCTCAAGTGGGGAAGCGGCTGTGCCGCTGTTTACGCTGGTCGCGCACGATGGCGCCTGCACGGCGCTGGACGTGAGCCCCCACATTCCCGGCTGTTGGCTGACGGCCGGCACGGATCGCCAAGTGAAGCTGTGGAGCGTCGATGGTGAGGACACGGAAAAGCCCCGGAGCATCAGCTTGGCTACGGCGCGAGAGCTGGGCGTTGGCAAGCTGTTCACCGCGAGCTTCTCGCCAAACGACCCGCTGACCGTCGCCGCGGCCGGCTCGGCCGGCAAGCTCCACTTGTGGGACACGCTCGCCAATGCGGGCGTCCGACGTGCGTTTAGCGACCGCCTGCGGCGCCTCGATTCGTATGCGTCGCGCCATGTGCAGCCTGTCGCCCCGCGCTCCCTCGACGACGAGACCGTGCGGGCGGGCGATGTCCAGGTGGACGACGACGCGGAGTCGGACGAGGCGCTGGACGAGTAGCACGTGATAGAAACGCGAAATGGGCCCAATTTCGCTCGCGCCCCTCGTGGATGGACGACGTGGACGTGTTTGAGGACGCGCTGTTCACGCTGTTTGCGCATCACCAGCCGGCGCGGGGCGACCCGGGGAGCGCAGGGCGCTACGAGAATGCGGCGCTCCCTGCATGGTGCGCCGAGGGATGCGACAAGCCGCGCGCCCTGCCGTACTGGATCCCTGAGGCCAGTAGTGCCAACACGCTTTTGTTTGCGCACCACCAGTGGGACGCAGGCGTCCTTCTGGCCGACCTCATTGTGGCGCATGCGCCCATCGACGTTCAGGGCCGCTCGGTCGTGGAGTTGGGCGCAGGCACCGGCCTTCCCTCTTTGGCCGCCGCCGCGTGCGGCGCCGCGCAGGTACGCCGCGCCTACTAACGACAGTGCACCGTGACCGACTACCCCGACCCGCATATTCTTGCGGCGCTAGAGCGCAATGCCGCTGCTTTGCGTGCCCGCGCGCCCCATGCGCTGCCGCTCCAGGTCCAGGGCCTCGCGTGGGGCCAAGAAGAGCACGCTGAGCGCGTATGTGCGATGAATGGCGGGCGCTACGATATCGTTCTCGCGGCGGATGTCCTATGGGTATCGTCGCAGCACGAGAACCTGCTCGACTCGATCTGCGCCTTGCTGGCCCGCCACGCGTCCGCGCGGTGCCTCGTTGTGGCCGGCTACCATACGGGGCGGCCTGCGACGGAGCGCTTTTTCCTGGCTGCTCACACGCGCGGCCTTGTGCCGGACACGACCACGCATTTAAGCGGTTTGTACGAGCGGAGCATTTTTGGCGAGGAACGTGCGTGCCCAGGAACGGAAACGGCTTCAGAGACGGACCTTGGCGATATCAGCGCGCGGGCGCAGTGGGTGCGTGTTGGCTGCCTTCGGTGGTCGGAGGAGGCGCTGCGCTAACGCACGCGCTTGGAAGGCCGCTCCGCCGCGAGCTCATCCACGAGGGCAAGCAGCCTCGTCTGCTCACGTCGCGCGGCGGGATCGTCGTACCATACATGCGACGCTTTTTGGTCAGAGAGCGGCTCGGTGGGCACGGGCGCCTCGAGCTGTGTACTGGCCTCAGGCTCGAGCGTGGCCTCCAAACGCGGCGCCTCGGGACGCGTGCCATGTCGTCGTGGCCGTGCGCGCCGCCGTGGCGCATCCGCGGCCTGGTCCGAGTAGTTGGTCGAGCTTGAAGGCGTGCGTGTCCATGGACGAGGCGATGTCGGCCTCGGCGCGGCTTGCGCATGCAGCTCATCCAGGCCTGGCGCCGCAGCCTCGGGCTGGGCGGCCCACGGAGGGTGCCCAGGCGCTGCTTCGCGCTCTAGCGCCGTGGGTGCTGATAGCGGTGCCCTCTCTGCCAGTGCCGCCAACTCCTCGCCTTGACCCCGCAGTGCACGCTCCAAAAAGGCCGTGGTTATGGTAGGAATGTGCCATTCGGCCGCCTTGGCCACCTTTTTATCCTGCGCACTCGGGCCACACAGCAGGTGCGTGGCCTGCCGCGAAAAAGCCTCGACGACCGTGCCGCCGAGCGCCTCGATGGCCGCACAGGTGTGGAAATAGTCGGGGCTCTCGCGCGGGATGCCCGTGAGTGCGATGCGCCACTGCGCTGCATCTCCATTCGGCAGCGTTTCCGTGGCAGGGCGGAGCGCCACATGCGCACTAGGATCGACCATGGCATTGTCGTACAGGCACCGCTCGACCCAGTGGTGTGTCACGTACGTGTGCGCCGCGACGCGCAGCGGGCGTGCCAAGGGGCCCACCGCATAGTCTGCCGTCTCTGTAGCGCCAGCGCCCGTAGCCGGCCATACGGTGCCGCCAGCTCGCCGCACGACGTGCGCAACGCGTTTTGTGCGTGCCTCGTCTCCCATATCGATGCAAAAGGTGCGTGAGGCGAATACGCCGCGGGGCGGCGCCGCAAAGCGCGCCTCACGCGAGTACGCAAGGAGCGAGCCACACGGAGGCGCCGAGGCACTCACATCCTCCCGGCTGGGAGCT